TTTGTCTTCTTATCCATTGATGATATAAATTAGAATTTAATGAACCACATGGTAGCCACGGTGGCTCAGTGTGTAAGACGTTGACTCAATGACATGGGGATTCTGTGTTCTTGGAAATTCATCATGATTTTCCGACGTTAGTCCTTCTTGTCAGTAGTTCAGGACCTGGCAAGGGACAATGCAGTCATTTGGATAGTACGGAAAACAAAGGTCCCGTGTATACATTGGCATGCAAGTAAAAGATCCACTGGCAGTTGAAATTCAATATAAGAGTAGGCCATAGTGCCACTGTTCAGGCAAAATTTCCATCATAACACACTGTATAGATTATGCCTGTCTCCACTAGCCCAGTCGAAGCAGAACAGTAGGACATTAAACCCCATTTCATACATGATATTATTTGTACATTTATTTATATTACTGATGAATATTATTTGTATATTTATTTATATTACTGATAAATAATATTTTGTATATTTTATAGTTACAAGTTCAGATAACCAATCTATTAGCCGCCAACAGAACAGGTGGACAAGTTAGAACAGATTTCTCTACATTTCCTACTCCCCAGTTTGCTAGGGTAATTTTTATTTTTTATTTTAAAAAAATGTTTAATGTTGAATGAGAACTTAATGGTTTAACACCTGCTTGTTAGATCATAAGGTCTGTCATTGACTCAAGTGGCATGGTTTCAATTTCCAGTTTGTACATGACAAGGAGTAGGGTCGCCTGTCCAACCTCATGGGTTTTCTCCAAGTCCTCCTGTTTTCTACCACTCACATACAAATTATTGAAATAATATTTAAGCATATTATACCAGAAATGTCGAGTGGACGTTAAACCCCATTTTTCTCTCAACTACCTCGAAAATCTGACCACTGCTGAGATTGGAGGTTCTGTGAGGTCTACATCAATATGCTGTTAAATTAAAGTAACATATTTATCTTGTAGATGTTACATGAAAAATGTGGAGAAAGTATATTAGCTGCAAACATCCGAGTTCCATGTCCTGGTGGAAAAGGCGAGAAGATTCCGTTACACGTTACTCACGATGAACTACGACAGATTCATCTGCGATTTAAAAGTTAGAACTGTTTATTAGTGCAATATTAATTGTTATTTATTATTATTATAAAATCCTTCTATCGGGTGAAAGTGCTTCTCGATGTTTGATCTTTCTATTTTACATGTTTGATCTTTTTATATTACATGTTTGCTTTAAAGATCTACTTGCATTAAATTAAAATAAATATAAAAGATGCATTATGTAAGATTTAGATAAAGAGCTGGAAATAAGAATTAAATTAGAATTAATCTTAAGCTTGCAGATTGTCATGTGCATTAAAGTAGAATTAATATTAAAAATGCATTATGTAAGATTTAGATAATTAAAAAGCTGGACGTTCTTGCTATAATGGTTCAAAAATAGATAATGAAAAATGAATATATTGAAAACTTCAGTCAAATTACATTATTCTGAGTGAAGTTATGAGTGTTTGAAGTTTTTAACATTATATTATTATTAAACGGCAAGGTTGTTCTAATCCATTTAATTTTTTAGCGATCCGATGGCCTGGAGATTTGATTATTGGATTGTCATGTGAATAAATGTCTGAACCCAGAAAAAGATCTGCAGTAGGCAGATTTAGTTCTTACATAATGCACCTTTAAGCATTTTATGCTGTATTTCCCACTACTTTCTGAACACTTGCATTATAGTAGAAGCCCATCTACATTCAGATAGATCTATAAAATATTTGTAAAGATACCTTTATTACCCATACAAGGCTTTTGGCCAATGCAGCACCATTTTAAGCAGAGTTGAATTTTCCCAGATTCAGAGATACAGATATGAGAAATATTTAAATTTTGGAATTTATGAAGTTCATGTTGTTAGATATGCATTTATCCAACTGTTGATTTGTTTTGTTAGTTTTGAAGATTATCATGATATTTATTCTTAACTACCAGTATCAGATCTTTTCTTCGCAAATTCTTAAATACTCACTAAAATAATTGAAATTATGTCCATTAAATACCAATATCAGATTCGTTTTTAGGAAATTCTCGAACAGTCGCTGAAATAACTTGTGGTTGTTGACATAATTTGAAATTATGTCCATTGGCTTGTTGAATAACATAACAATATCAGATCTTTATTTGGAAATTCTCGGACACTCACTAAAAGATTTGAAATTATGTTCATTACCTTGTTAATTACCAATTTAAATCTCATTGTTTATATAGAAGGGTATCAGGTTGAAAATGTCAAGGAAAGTAGAATTCTGAGGATTTAAAGTTGAAAGTTTAATATTTTTGCAGGTTAAATGTATAAGTTATAGATTTCCAGTTTTCACCACAGAAATGTCCCTTTTAGATACAACTATTCTCTTATACTTTTCTATTTTTTACTATAGATCACATTTTGAACCTGATAGCCCTCTATATCTTTATTTTATATTTTCGAGTTTCGCACGTGAGATTATTTAGGTTAAATACAAGAAGGTAGGATGTGTCGAGTGTAACAACAGATTTCTAATACTCACTTAATATGGTATTAATGTGTTCTAAACAGTTTACTGGTTTAAACATAGGGATGGACAGGTCCCCCATTCTAGGCGAGGTAGGTGGTGATGGGTTGGCCCCCTCTGGGCATGAGAAATATTTTGAAAACGCATGGTACATGGGACTTTCTAAGTTATATCCAGACACTGCAACAAACCATTAAATGGTAATCATATATTGGGGAAATAATTCCAAAAAGCTATCCAAACGATATAATTTCAACACTAAAGAAGGCCGCCAAACTGCGTGAGCAAATTAACTTCCTTTAGGGGCCCCCAAGACTACCATACTCATTAACACTGTTACCCGATTATCATTCGAACACTTGTAAATTGGACGCTCATTATCAAAATTAAGCGGTCACCTTTAATCAGGACACAAATTCAAATTAGATGATATTTGGAAATTTTAAATGATTTTTACAAATTTTCAAAGTTTTCATATTGAATGAATGTTAAAGAAATTAATGTTGAATACACAAGATTAAATGAAACCTGGGTTACAGTGTAAGTATCATATATAAACATCTTCTATACCTTTATTAACTATTGTATTTAATGCTAAATACACAAGATTAACTGATATAAGGATTACAGTGTAAGTCTCGTATATAAATGTCCTCTATGCCTTTATTAGTTATTGTATGGTGTAAGTGTAAAGACTATAATTGCTGAAAATAAATCGTATATATCAGAATATTTGTATGTTTTGTGGTCAATACGGAAAATTTAAATGAAATACAATCGATTGCCATGCAAGATACTCCCACATTTTGCAAGAGATGGACGGAGAACTGAGAAAATCAACAGTTCATTTCAAAAAAAAAAAACCTTCACAAAATTTAGCCTTTATCGATTTGGCAAAGGGGGGTAACTCTGAAACGTTGGCATATAAAAATGGGGGTTAAACTTACTTTTCTGCACCAACTGGGGTAATGAAAGATATTTTTCAAATGAACTATTGATTTTCCCAGTTCTCCGTCCATCTCTTGCAAAATCAATAGTTCATTTGAAAAAAAATTTAGCCTTTATCGATTTGGCAAAGGGGGTTAACTCTGAAATGTTAGCATATATAAATGGGGTTTAACTTAACTGGGATAATGGGAAAAAAGGGAAAGTATGTCCTGACAGAGACGACATGGCCTACGGGTTCTCTTATTTGGGTTTCCAGCTGTTCGTGGGATCTTTAACAGGCTTCCAATAGTAACCTATACACAGGTCCGTGGTTTCTAGTCACGATAAAGCCACTCAACGCTTGTATGTTAATGGACATGGTTATCATAAAACTAATTCTATATTGGTACTCTGGGAGTTTATTGGTTCAAACGCATTGAATTCCTGCACCAATCTGCCTAACGAAGACAGGCAAACACCATGGCTACTCAATTTCCAAGGGATCTTTGACATACTGCCAATGTGGTATATACAGGCCTGGATATAATCATATTCCTGAAGCAATGACCTGAAAAATCCCTCTCTGGCCATTGCTGGATTGGCTCCTGATACTTGAACTTTGGAGGGAATGTGTCTATTCTTCCCGTTCAATGAAATCCATCCCAAGTACAGCAACATGACAGTCCTTCGTTTAACCATATGAAAAAATATTTGGTCCAATTTGGAGCTCTGTTTAAAGCATAATGACATTGTTACGCAGTTAGCTATTGGTTGTTAATCGAACTAATGACCAGTCATAATTTGGAAAAGAAATTTGCTTCTATTACAGCAGTGTTAAGTGGGATTATCTCTAATCAAACGAAACACTGTGAGGAGTATGGGATATAATGGTTTTAGTTGTCTCGGAGAATTGTCCAACACTATTGAACTAGTTCCTGACATTTTCAACATATAATTTCCATAAAAACACAAAAAAAGGCAAATTTGTGGCGGACAAAATGCCAGGCACCAGAGGGATTATGCCTGACAACAGTCTGAATTTATGCCTGACAATGTCTGTGACAGGTGCCTTATATCCAGGCTGTTTCTCATTCTATCCGAATGACTGCACACTTGTTCTCTCTACGTCCTCTTTCACGCACCGGAGGGTCGCCAGACAAGAAAATCCTGAGAAACTTTCTCAGCTACCATGGAGAACTCCTGGTTAATTCCATTAGCTTTGAGGGAGAGAGAGGAATGGGGTTTAAAATCCACTTGACACAAACAAGGTCAGTTCGGGACTAACATTGTTCAATTTCATTTCAATAATTTGCTTGCGCGTAATGGTCTTTAGCAGTTGGAGGAAACTGGAGGACACAGAGAAAACCCAATAGGTTGTACAGGCAACCCTACTCCTTGTCACATACAACCGGGGAATCGAAACCACACCAGTTGACTCAATGACAGACCTTACGATACAACGTGCACATGCTAACCATTCAGCCATCCAACACCCCCACCCCCCGCATTAGCTAATTTTATTCAGCTACAAATAAACAATGATTTCTAGTATAGAAGATTTTTTTATTAAAATTGAAAAGTTTGTAACAATTTGTAAATACACAAAACAAAATATGGAGCAGTTTGGAAGTTAATTTTAAAAATAATGTTGACCATTATGCTGTTCTGGTTGTAACTAAATATATCACAAACTACAAATTTTAAAACAAATTTGTGTTATTTTATTACAATCTGATTGAAATACAGATCTATATTTCGTTTCGTCTTTTTATACTTTCAATGGTCTAAGCTACATGAAGATCTGACAAGTTGTACTCGAAGGTCGTTTCAGGGGTCGTTCGAGCAGCTTTTGACCCTATGACATCAGACATTGATTAATCAATCAGCGTTGACATTTCTAGTGGTTTAACCACAGTTCTGGACAAACGCAAGTAAAACGAAAAATTGAAATATAAAAAACAAAACCAAATAGGATCTGTGTTTTAATCAGAATGATTGTATTACCAACTTTAGTATTTATTACCAACTTTAGTATTTATTACCAACTTGAAGTATTTATTACCAACTTTAGTATTCATTACCAACATTAGTATCTATTACCAACTTTAGTATCTATTACCAACATTTGTATTTATTACCAACATTAGTATCTATCACCAACTTTAGTATTTATTACCAACTTTAGTATTTATTACCAACTTTAGTATTCATTACCAACTTTAGTATCTATTACCAACTTTAGTATCTATTACCAACATTATTATCTATTACCAACATTTGTATTTATTACCAACTTTAGTATTTATTACCAACTTTAGTATTCATTACCAACATTAGTATTTATTACCAACATTGGTATTTATTGCCAACTTTAGTATCCATTACCAACTTTAGTATTTATTACCAACATTTGTATTTATAACCAACTTTAGTATTTATTACCAACATTAGTATTTATTACGAACATCATAAATTGAAGTAAGTAATTTAGGGCCATCACCACCAAATCTGAATTAATGAAGCACATTTTGTGTGGATGAAATTTATGAGTTAAATGTGTAAACCTATATATAATTAGCTAGCAGCATTTTTTATCTGAAGTAGGACAACACGCTGGTGCAAGAGTCTCTCCACTAGATTCTAATTCAGTCATATAAACAAATGGATCTTTAACCTACAAGAAACAAAAATATAGAATTTAACCAAAACTTTCATATAAAGGAAACGAAATGAAATGGGGTATAACGTCCTACTGTTCTGCTCTGACTGGGCTAATGAAGACGAGCATCCGCCATACAATGTGCTATGATAGGGTGGCCCATGTACTCTACAGAAATAAAGTCCACCGCTGATAGTTCGAGACTACCACTGAAGAGTACACATTCGCCGTGCCGAGACCAACTTTCTGATAGTATGATACTATAAATAGCCATGGCACGTGCAATTCTCTACAAATCTATCAACTATTACAGCCGTAAATAATTTATTGTTGACGGTTTTGAATAGCAGTGAAATTAAGTTGCTTGGTTATTACAGCAGATTTAGAAATTACGTTCGTTTCATTTTTTAAATCGCTTTATCATTAACTGTACCGTTAAGAGCGGCGTCTTTTGGTTTAGTACAAATAATATCTCTGAATCACTCGGGTTAGACAGGAACATGATACTAGCAGTAGTTTCATTTTACTTTTACAAGGTTCGTAAAACGATTGTTGAGCTACCTAACGTGCTTATTTCTAAATTTAATTTCTTGTTCTAGCTTTCTGTTATGTTTCGTAAAAAAGTAGTCTTGATTATCCCGACCTGTCAATCAGACGTAGAATGGTCGATAGACTGGTTAAGCGAGACTAATTTCAAAACAAGGGCACGTAACCTATCTTTTACTCAAAAGTGTCTGGATGTTATGGACGACACTTGGAACCAGTTTTCAGTCTATTATTTATAGATGATTAATGGTCATAGCTTATTAAGTACAACATGATCGTTTATTTAGTGACTATAATTGTGTGAAACTGATTTGAGGCTTGGCATATATATAAATATTGTGGCGTAATTGTCGAGATATATGGAGATATATGGAGATATTTATTTATGGTGGGTCACCCTAGCTATGAGGGAAATTTTGCTCTGGCAGTGGCACTATGGCCTACTCTTATATCGAATTCCGACTGCCAAGGGATCTTTTACATGTATACACAGGACCTCAGTTTTTCATCTCATACGAATCACTAGACGACTGTCCTTGTCAGGCCCTCTGTCCTGCTTCACTGACAAGGGGAAACCAGGTTGGAAAATCTGGATGAACTTTCTCGGCCAATGCAGGGATCGAACATGCTACCTCAAGGCTTCGATAAATTGAAATAGATTGTAACGAATTAACTCCTACTAAAAGTAAAAGTAGTGGGAGCGATGTAGAAATGGAGTTTAACATCAGTCATCCACTTAACACAAACTAGGTCATTTTGAGACTAACATCTAGTTCAATTTTATTTCAATAATTTGCTAATCAAAGATACATTATGGGTGATTAGATAAAGCGCTGGCAGTCCTCACTATAATAGTTAAAAACTAGATAATGTAAAGGAAATTTGCTGAAAATTTCAGTCAAATTGATCCACTCTGAACCAGATTGGGCCTAGCCTCGACCGTCATTAGTAAAGTCGGTAGGATAAAAAAAACATAGTATCGATTTTCCATCTTTTAATTTAATCACAAATGAGCGTTATTCAGCAGATCGGATTATAATCCAGTAAATATCGCAGGCTAGTGATGACATCGAGAGTTGATTATGGTCTGGATAAGTTAATTAATGTCTAATTAATAATTTAGATAACATTTCAGGCCTAAAGAAAGACCTGCAATAGGCAGATTTAGCTCTTGTATAATGTATGTTTAAAGAGTTAAACAGTAACAAACTCACCATATCAACTTTGTTAGGACAACATCCAGTTTTACTGGCAGAACATGGTTGGAAATCAAATTCATCTTTAAATCTTGAAGCAGTTAAAATAGTGCTCAATTCTTCATCTACAGCAACTGGTTCTCCGGTCTGATATATAAAACAGTGAAACTAAATTACTAAATGGATAAACTGATTTAAAGAGAGAGAAAGAGAAATGGGGTTTAACGTCCACTCGACACAAACTAGGTCATTTCGAGACTAACATATGGTTTAACTTTATTTCAACAATTCGCTTGCGCGTAGGGGTCTTTAGCAGTGGGAGGAAACCGGAGGACCCGGAGAAAACCCACGAGGTTGGACAGGCGACCCTACTCCTTGTCACGTACAACCGGGGATTCGAAACCACGCCAGTCGACTCAATGACAGACTTTATGATACAGCGCGCGCACGCTAACCATTCAGCCATCCAACCCCCCTAAACAGATTTAAAGATGCATTAGATAGATAAAATGAAATGGGGATTAATGTCCTACTCCTAACCTGGGCTAATGAAGACAGTCATATGCCATACAGTGTGCTATGAGGGAAAGTTTTCCCTGGGCAGCAGCACTATGACCTACTCTTATATCGATATCCAACTGCCAAGGGATCTTTTACATGCATGACAATGTGTACACAGGACCTCTGTTTTTCGTCCCATTCGAACAACTAGACAGCTGTCCTTGTCAGGCCCTTCGACCTGCACCATTGACAAGGGGAAACCATGTCCAAAAATCCCGATAAACAAGATTAGATAAAGAGCTGACAGTTCTCGCTACATTAGTTCAAAAATAGATAATGAAAAGAGAATATATTGAAACTTTCATTCAAATTACTCCATTCTGAGCGAAGTTATTGGCGTAGTCCCATTGCTACTATTGCTACGATAGTAAACAAAGTCTTGATTATCCATTTTTTAATTAAATCACTAACTGCCAATCGTTATTAAATCCGTTGACAATCAAGCGCATCCGATAGCCTAGTTGATTAAGGTCTTGGCATGTCAGTAAATGTCTAATTAAAAATTTAGAAAACATTTCAGGCCTAATGAAAGACCTGCAATAGGCAGCTTTAGCTCTTGCGTAATGCATCTTTAATATTTTTTGTGGATAACGTTTCCAGTAACTATTACATTATGCAACTTTAAATTTTCTAACCTTAAAAGAATGTTTGAAGTCAAATTTCAGTTCTTTTTCATGATCTGTAATATCACCGTTATATATAACTTGTCTTGCTGCTTCTCGTTTCTCAGGTAATTTGAATAATCTGTAGGTTACTGAGGCAAATTTTGCATCACCTGAAATATATATAGAGAAAAATGGGGTTTACCATCCACTCGACCAAAACTAGGACATTTTGGGACTAACACATGGTTCAATTTTATTTCAATAATTGGACAGTCAACCCTACTCCTTGTCACGTACAACCAGGGATTCGAAATCATGCCAGTTGACTCAATGACAGACCTTATGATACAGTGCGCACGTGCTAACCATTCGACCACCCATCCCCCCAGCTCTGTAGGAACTAAATCTATTATTATACAGATATGTTGAAGATATGTTTATGATATGACCGCCAGTATACCTAAAACTTTTTTAAAATCTTCTCGTTCTATGGGTACTGGTGTAGCTGCTACTAGTCTAGGCTGACTAAAACCAATTTCTTCAGCTAATCTATATAACTCCTTCCACCATAGAGCACCGGATATACATTCACCTTAAAAATAAATTCATTAACTAAAAATACACCTGATATACATTCACCTTAAAGATAAATTCATTAACTAAAAATATACCGGATATACATTCACCTTAAAGATAAATTCATTAGCTAAAAATACACCAGATATACATTCACCATAAAGATAAATTCAATGTAAATTCAATTCACTGTTATGTTCCAACTGGTCTAACTAAGACAGGCATATGCCATTCAGTGTGCTATGAGGGAAATTTTACCCGAACAGCTGCAATACTCTTACATCGAATTCCAAATGCCAAGGGTTCTTTTACGTGCACACCATTGTGTACATGGGACATTAGTTTTTCACCCCAATCAAATGACAATACATTGTCCCTTGTCAGAACCTCTGCCGAACATCTTTCACACTGAGTCACCACGGCTCCCTACCTAACAAGTACCACTGTATTAAGGACCACGAACTGACTAGGTTGTCATTTCAGTCATCTTGGAATTGTGACGTCGTTATCCAAAGTCCATAAATCAATGCACATATGTCCAAGCATCAGTAATGTTGAGTTTATGTCAATCGTACATGATTTAACGCAGCCTTAAGCTTTTTTTTTGCGAAGAGTGTCACTTTGCAACAACAAGATGAGTAGTGCTTGGGGGGGGGGGACCAGTTCGCTAAAACTAACATAGATGTATTTGAATTTGTAAAATTCAGATTTTCTTGATAAAAATCATCTGAAACACCTACTTATAACAAAACGAGCCCGACATCTTTTTCAAAATCTAAATAAGGTGTTACTATTTCACACTTGAAGCAAAATTTAAAACACAATTAAATTATGAGCTCTTTTAAATAATAATGGGGAGGGGTGGTCAATATATCATGTTAGTGGTATTACAACCTGGACGGGGGTGGTGGGATAAGAACTGAAATCCATTGTAATCACTCAGCCACATTTCAACTGACTTGGGAAAGTGTGGTTAAGAGAAAGAATAAAAAATGAGGTTTAACATCCACTCAACACAAACTAGGTCATTTCGGGATTAAGACATGGTTCAATTTCATTTCAATAATTTGCTTGTGAATAGGGGTCTTTAGCACTAGTAGGGGATCAAAACCATGCCACTTGACTCAAATACAGACCTTATGATCTAAAGCGCACACGCTCGACCAACCAATTTAATCCATATTACTTACCCCAGAGTACTTCATGTTTTCTGGCCGATTCAGGTACATCATGATCAGCATAAATATCACTGAAATACAACTCTCCTCCAACCTACAAAATAATTTAAAATCTACCATAATCATCACTGAAATAAAACTCTCCTCCGACCTACAAAATAATTTATATAAATAATCTACCATAACCATCTGTAATAACCACTGTCATCACATATTGTTCAATTTTATTTCAATAATTCGCTTGCGTGTAGGGGTCTTTACCAGTGGGTGGAAACCAGAGGACCCGGAGAAAACCCACGAGGCTGGACAGGCGACCCTACTCCTTGTCACGTAAAACCGGGGAATCGAACCTTATGATATAGCACGCAAGTGCTAACCATTCACCTCCCCCCCCCCTCCCCCACAGACGTTAAAAATGTAGCATTGTATAGTAATAATAGTATTAAACAGTTAACAAAGATTTCTCAAGCTTCAGTTACGAATTTACGCCTTATTTTAACTAAATTATAGCCCTTTATAAAACTTTTGTTTTAATGTATCATATACATTAATAAGAAACTATGTGCAAAGTTTTGTGTTTTCTGAATCAAAGATATTTCTCATAAACAGTGATTGACAGTTGAGTAAATTCTTAACTTAAATCTGAGAATATTTTGCGAACTCAGGGCCAGATACTAGTGAGTCTGTCATCAGAATAATCTTTATAGGATGTGAGCCTATTTAACATTAGGACAAATATGTAGGATGTGAGCCTATTTAACATTAGGACCAATGAGTAGGAGGATGTGAGCCTATTTAACATTAGGACAAATGTGTAAATACCTTCAATACTTTATAAGCATCTGATAACACTGCTTTCTTGTCAGGAGACAAATTCACAACACAGTTGGATCTGAAATAAATTATTTTAATCAGAATTAATACTTTTATATTACATATAAACCACATTGTCAAAGATCTAAAAAGAATAGCAGTTCCAAAACATTTTAATTTCAGTAAGTATTCCCAAAGACATGATATAAACAAGCCAGTCGCCTATAAGCATTAGGTAAAAACATTTTAATTGACCTTTTATTAATTCGATTGAATCCACTGTTTTAATTTTGGGATGTTTTTGTAAATTAAATCTGAGTATATTTCAGTCTGGACTAGCGTATAACTCCAAAAGTGGTAGTGCCGCGCCACCCAGTCTATGTAACTCCCCCCCCCCTGGTCCGAGCTACCTTTACACACCAAATTTCCGTCTCGGGACAGCCCTACTGTAGCCACCAACCCTGAACAGATAGTCAGACAATCAAGCAACAGTCACAAATATTTGTAGAGATAAAACTCTAAAAAGAGAGAGAGAGGGGAGGAATGGGGTTTAACATCCACTTTTATCAATATCTTAAACGCTAAATGAATAAATGAATGAATGAGTTTAACATCCACATGACACAAACTATGGTTCACTTAAAATCAATAATTTGCTAGCATGTAGGGATTTTTAGCAGTGAGAGGGGTCCAAAGAACCCGGAGAAAACCCACAAGGTTAGACAGCTTAGGCGACACTTCTCCTTGTCACATGGTTCACTTAAAATCAATAATTTGCTAGCACCTAGGGATCTTTAGCAGTGAGAGGGGTCCAAAGAACCCGGAGAAAACCGACAAGGTTTGATATTGAACGAATGAGAAAGAAATTAATGCTAAATACACAAGATTAAATGATATCCAGATTACAGTGAAAGGAAACCAGATTACAGTGACAGGTAACCGTAAACACAGGTAATTTTTATTTTTGACTAATTTACAAATTAGCTTGATTATAAATTATACCTACACAATAATATCAAAAGTTTCCTCTTTTAAACCAGCTTCAACTATCTTTTCTATATAACCTTTCACAAATTCTGTATTCGCTTTCTTATAACCAAACTTTTCACGATGGTAGTCAATATACTTTCTCGATACAGCCAACTGAAAAACAAATAAATTTAAAATCTCTTACCTGTTACAGAGAGAGAGAGAGAGACAGAGAGACAGAGAGAGGTTTAACATCCACTCAACACAAACTAGATTGTTTTGAGACTAATGCAGGGTTCATTTTTATTTCACTAATTCTCTAGCAGTCGGAGGAAACTAAAGGAGCCAGTGAAAACCTACAAGGTTGTCACATTCAAGCTGGAATTCAATACCACACTACTGATTTCAGTAATTCTCTAGAAGTGGGAGGAAACTAGAGGACATGGAAGAAACCCACAAGGTTACACATACAAGCTGGTATTCAATACCACACCACTTGACTCAATGACTGACCTTATGATCTGAAGTGCATGCATTAGACAATTCAGTCCCCCAAACCCTTAATAAAGTAACAAACCAACCTGTCCAACGATACTATGCCACTGGACAGACTTTATGATATGAACCGCATGATGTGATAGACCTTTCAGCCACACTACCCCCCATAATGAGAGAGAGAGAGAAATGGGGTTTAAGTCTACTAGACACAAACTAGGTAATTTCGGGACTAACACATGGTTCAATTTTATTTCAATAATTCACTTGCGCGTAGGGGTCTTTAGCAGTGGGAGGAAACCGGAGGACCCGGAGAAATCCCACAAAGTTAGACAGACGACCCTCCTCCTTGTCACGTACAACCTGGAAATCGACTCCCCCCCCCCCCCAATAATGAAGTAATAAACATACCTGTTCATCTGTCATGTCTAATCCTACAATAGCACCATCTTCACCAACCAGTTTACTTAAAGCGAAACAATCTCGACCACTTCCACTACCTAAATCTAATATTCTTGTTCCTTCCACTTTCTCTGGTATTACTAAACCACATCCATAATATCTGAAATGAAAATGAAAAGAAATGAAAATGAATGAAAATGAAAATGCCTAAGCAGACAATGCTCATCATTAGTCAAGGTAATGATGTAATGAAATAAGCTTCCCCACTCTCATTAGTGCATAATAAATTAATGCCCCACTATTAAAACAAGTACCTGGCAAAAGATAGTGAATAGTTGTTTGTATGGGACGAAAAACAGAGGTCCCATGTACACATTGGCAGTTAGAGTTCTAAATAAGAGTAGCCCATAGCGCTGCTATCCAAGCAAAATTTCTCTTATAGCACACTTCATTAACCCAGTGGGACGTTAAAACCTATTTTTTTAACAATTGATACAAATTGCTCCACTGCTTTGTAAAATAACAAAGAAATGAAATGAAATGAAAAGGGGTTTAACGTCCTACTGCTCTGCTCCGTACTGGGTTAATGAAGACTGGCATACGTCATACAATGTACTATGAGGGAAATTTTGCCAGGACAGCGGCACTACAGCTACTCTTATATCGAATTCCAACTGTCAAGGGATCTTTTACGTGCATGCCATCCGAACGACTAGACAGCTGTCCTTGTCAGGCTCTCTATAAAAATAGCAAAGAAGCAGAGGGGCAATACCGATGATGTCAACTGAAAATCACATGATTTGGGTTGTACTGGAGAGATGGAAAGTACCATATTTTGTAAACATCAAACTTGTAACACAAAGCACAGAAACCTCACATTCAAAAACTCCTCCCAGTTGTGTCAAAATTAAAAAAGTTTTTTCGCACCTTCGGAGGGAGACCCAACACCGCTATGCCTCAGTGCTTCTAATTCCTTAAAAAAGGCCCTGTCTCTAACTCAACTAGAATCAAAAGGCTCCAAAGTCTCAAGCAATCAAAAGTTATCGACCCCCTATATCAGTGGTTCTCAACCAGTGTGCCGCATGATCTTCCTAAGTGTGCCGCCAAATTTTGAACGGCATACTAAGAAAATTTCTCACTAAAGATGAAATTCGAAACACTGCAATAAAGTAAGTTCATAGCTGTGTTTTTCTTTATTTAGTTTGAGTCTAAAGTTGTATGCCGTCTATGACTTGCCATGTTTTTATTTTGCAAAATTCAAATATTTCTCGTATAATTAGCCAGGTGTGCCACTATTTTTTCACATGTTCCAAGGTGTGCTGTTGGCAAAAAAGGTTGAGAACCAATGCCTATATGGACCCCTCTGGCTTTTTACAGTCCCCTGTCCACAAGCTCCAATAATACTTACTTCATTGTAACTTCATCATGAACTTCACCTAAAGCCTTCTTCACGGATTTTGACATCCGACTGGCACCTGTCGAACAAGCTGGCGTCTGTAAATCATCAGAAGTTTTTAATGTTTTACCGTAATAATCTTTCACCGAATCTCTAACTTGATTTTCTGATACCTCCGTCATGTTTAATGTTTCTTTCTTGTTAACTGTAACAAAGTTTGAAATACCCTTTTTAAAGATACATTCGTTAAGAGTTTAATAAAGAGTTGGTCATTCTTGCTATAATAATTCAAAAATAGATGATGAAAAAAGAAAATATTGAAAATTTCAGTCAAATTACTTCTTTCTCAGCCAGGTTATCATTGTTTGTAGTTTTGACAAGATGTGTGCACAGTGGTAACCAGGGCACTGGTATAATCAGGGCTTAGCCTCACTTTCCCATTTTTAAATTAAATTTTAATATGGAGAACCGTTTTAATCTAGTTAAAATCCTGAGTATCGATGCCCGATTTAGCTCTTGCATAATGTATGTTTAATCTATATGGCTAAAACACAGTATTTGTCCACTTTTCAATTTTCTGATGTTATATACAGTTTGGAAACAACTTCCAACATTTACAGTCCATTTCTTATATTCAACATTTGTAATAATGACCTCTCCTAATGACCACCAAATTTCAAATTCGTTGTTGAGTTATGGCAATAAAAATGTCCCAAAAATAGCCATTCTTTGGCATTATGCTGTCTCACTTCAATAAATTATATTTTGAAACTCAAATTAATATATATTTTGACCAGGGGCAGACAGGGAGGTGGAGGCACCCACACTTTTGAAAAAATGACCTTAAATGTATTTCTTTGTATTGATATTTTTGTATTGATTATTACTTGTATTGATTATCTGAAAATGTATGCCATTCCATCCACCTCTTACTTCTCGGGGGGGGGGGGGGGGGGGGTGGCCGAATAGTTAGCACGTGCTTGATGTATCATAAGGCCTGTCACTGAGTCAACTGGCGTGGTTTCGAATCCCCGGTTGTACGTAACAGGGAGTAGGGTCACCTGTCCAACGTCGTGGGTTTTCTCCGGGTCCTCTGGTTTCCTCCCATTGCTAAAGACCCCTATGTGCAAGCGAACCATATGTTAGTCCCGAAATGACCTAGTTTGTGTCGAGTGGACGTTAAACCCCATTTCTCTCTCTCTCCCATACTTCTCTGTTCATGAAGTGGAGTCAGGTAAAACATGTTCTTTTATTAGTAGTCTAATGTATATATCAACTGTAACGGATACTGTTGATTAGTTTTCTTTACAGCTTGTAAGTACAGGGGTGGGTGCAAATGGTTAAAGCATGCACCCTGCATCATTAAGTCAGGAAATGAGTTAAACTCTCTCTCTCTCTCTCCCTCTCAGTAAGTACAGAACCTATTTATTATATTACACTGTACAGAAATTGAAACATAAATTTAATCTATATAGCCTACTATAGTGTAAATAGGTCACACTACTATGTAAACACACCTTAAATAAGATTTGTAGGCTGTCTCAACAAGCTATCTTTTATAAGGCTTATGACAATAGAAAATTAAAAGTCACTCATTTGGAACACTGTTTGTAATTACACTTATAGTTTTAGATACATTTAGCCTACTTTACAATATTAATGACATCACTTAGAATTATGCCGTAAAATTAATGTCAAAGTGCTTCAAAATACTTTAAGTAAATTACCGAAACTTTTTATCATTAAAAGGGTACGGTAGATATCTGTAGTAACAAACTTTTCATTCATATTAAATAAATTAAAAAAATTCAGTGGCCATCCCTATCATTACTATGTTATACCCATTACCCAGGCCAACGTGTCCACTGCATCATTACACGCTCCCCATCGCCTAATCAAACCGAACCCTTTTTATTTCGGCCGATGTTATAAGAGAACTCGGTCTTGATCTAGATGTACCCAATCAAGCTGACAAACGGCATTCTGAATCTGAGACACTCGATCCTGTCATAATTAATAATAAATACATGTATCGATGTATTAGTGGATAATTTTTATGGCAATCTAAACGGTTCAATATCATTAGTATTTTCAGATAGGTTACGTGCCGCTTTTTATTGGACAAATAAATTAAAACGTTTACCTGTTTACGATACTGGCAACTTTCTTTCGTTCACCTGTCTTCACGAAACACTTTTCCCCACAGAGTTATCTCCCGGGCACTACTGACTGGAGTAACCGAGACTGTTTATTATAGTCCACAAAATCCAGTCTTATCATGATGATTAATCAAAATACGTTTGACTAGTTTGCTTACCCTGATTAAAACGAATATTCTTGAGATTTCCAGAAAGAATAAAATGGGTTAACATCCGGTTTTTCTTCATCATGAATTCCAAAAGTCAAGATAACTTAAACATGTAGCCTTCTCGACCTGGATTTTCGTCTCGTCAGAAGGACTAGCCACTATTCCTGGCCACGCTGACTATATTTGGATATAACAGTGAAACAATATTTGATTTGTTTGGGCCTCGACAGTTGAAATTCGATTAAGAGTAGCCGAAACGCCGATGCAGGGGCCAAATTTCTCTCAAATTTAGTAGTCAAAGAACACTGCATCACTTTAGCCCGTCTTCACTAATTACCCGTTTGGTGCATGTCGTGTGGCCTTCTTAATTTATATACCGGTTGATTTTCATTTCAGATAGGCCTAGACAAATCGGCCCCGTTTGTCGCGACGCAGGAGCGCCATCACGTAGTGATCTCTAAAACTATTATGGCCACTTCCGCCTTCATTTCTATCGGGTTTGGAGCTCAAAGGACGGCAATTTAAACTCGCTCTAACTTGACTGAATGAAAAATCTAACATACCTTTCGACTTTGTGGAATAACAATCTATAATTCTAGTGATCTTTTTTTTGAAAATCTTATCGGATTCCTGAGAACAGATGTATTTTCTTCATGATCACCATCAAAACATTGAAGAATCGATTATGTCGTAAATTTTATGTTAATTAGATTGCCATTACTTAGATTTTCCTTTTTCTCACTGTTTTATTGTCGATTTGGGATGATACGAATATTTAGTATATATTAAAGACGTCTCTATTCATTTGACCTCATTTGACGTTTAAACCTATATAATGTACATGAATTTTAGGTACTATATTTTTTTTGCGGATGAATACAGCTGTTCTGTATTGTATTCTGTTATAGACTGTGAAAATTTTGGATCCATGTGTCGACGCTTTAAATCACATGGATCCATTAAACCTTCTAACTGTTTAATTCCATTTTTTTCATTGAAGATTCTTATATTACAAATCTTTCCTTACACTAGAAACGTAATCACTGGGTTTGTTGTACCACTTTTTGAATGACTGTTAAAATAGTTTATACTATAGTCCAGGGATTCTCATCCAGTGTGCCGCGAAATTTTAAACGGCACGCTAAGAAAATTTCTCACTAAAGATGCCAGTTATTTGACTGATGAAATTCAAACACTGCAATAAAGTAAGTTCATAGCTGTGTTTGTCTTCATTTAATATGAGACATTCTATGTGTCTATGACTAGTCTGTGTGTACGGCTGTATGACTTGCCATGTTTTAATTTTGCAAAATTCAAATATTTTTCATATATATTTTAGCCAGGTGTGTCTTCAAGTAGCTCCGCTTTAGAGCTGACACGAAGCTAATTGACAGACATTTTAATTCCTAAATCGATGATTTTAGTCGAAAAAACTGACTATGTATACTTAGAAAATTTTAAGCAGCATTTACTCCGCTTCCATTTAATAAAAAGAACATGTTTATTTAGTGTGTGTGTGTATGACATCTGTGAAAGAGAGTAGAACCGGATAACAAATTAATATAAAAAAAATGGATATGGTAACCATTCAGGACAGAGATATATGCTCGAAGTAGATATTCCTCTGTGTGCAGAATGGTACTTCCAACAAGTACATGATATGGTTTAAGACGACCCAGGTTGTATTGAGTAAATCGCACTGTTGTCTGTGATCTTATATTATAGCTTTATCACTTGATAATGGAACCGCGGTGGTTCCGTGAGTAAGACTCGCTAAAATGGAGATCCCGCGTTCGACCGGGAAAGTTCATCGGGATTGTCCGTGTCCGGCGTGCCCCCCCCCCCCCGCCCCATTTCTATCTCTCGTGCAGGACGGAGTGCCTGATATGACAAAGGACAACCTATAGTCGTTCGGATGGAACAAAAAACCCGATGTCCTATAGTACAAGAATCCTTGATAGTTAGAATTGAAAATAAGAGTAGGCCGTAGTGCCGCTGTCCGGGTAAGATTTCCCTCATAGCACCTTTTCTAGCGTTTGTCCGTATTCATTAGTCCAGTTGGAGCAGGGGCGAGGGCGGGGGTGGACGGCCGAATGGTTAGCACATGCGCGCTGTATTATAAGATCTGTCATTGAGTCAACTAGCGTGGTTTCGATTCCCCGGTTGTACGTGACAAGGAGTAGGGCCGCCTGTCCAACCTCGTGGGTTTTCTCCGGGTCCTCCGGTTTCCGCCCACTGCTAAAGACCCCTACGCACCAAGTGAAATATTGAAATAAAATTGAACCATGTGATAGTCCCGAAACGACCTGGTTTGTATCGAGTGGACATTACCCCCCCCTCTCTCTCTCTCTCTCTCTCTCTCTCTCTCTAGTTGGAGCAGAACAGAACAGTAGGACGTCAAACCCCATTCATTTTTGTGATCTATATCAACACTCTATATTATCACTTGATAAAGATATGGACTTTAATCTATTATATGTCTAAATAGCGATGTCGCTTTTGATAAAACTAATATCACCTCTTGTGATAAACAAACTGTCGATCTAGTAGTGTACATATATTCTAATATTTAATGGATAATGTCCGAAAATGAAGGTAAGGTGATTAATATGTTAAATAAACTCAACTCAGATACATCCTTATTTCTTTTGTTCGGGTGGGGTGGAGGGGGCGAGAGTGAAGAGAGAGAGAGATGGGGTTTAACGTCCACTCGACACAAACTAGGTAATTTCGGGACTAACACGTGTTTCAATTTTATTTCAATAATTCGCTTGCGCGTAAGGGTCTTTAGCAGTGGGAGGAGACCGGAGGACCCGAAGAAAACCCACGAGGTTGGACAGGCGACGGGATGAGGGCGGTGGCCCAGTGATTAAGACGCGGGCTCGCTAACCTGTGGAGATCCCGTGTTCGTTCCCTGGGTTGGCCGCGAAATTTCATCAACTATAATACACGAAATCTCGGTTTTCCACTTCAACGTTAACTGATTAAAAGGCGAGGATACTCTAATCTACTTAATTTAATACCCAAGTCATCCAATGCTGTAGAGAGTTGATTACGGGTCTGCCTCGGAAATGAATAATTTATAAAACATGTGAAGCCAGAAAAAAATACCCACAAAACATCAGATTTGGCTCTTACATTATGGACCTTTAAGGAAATGCAAATTCTCAATTTATATATTACAGGTTGTTATTGTATTATGTGTTGTCGTCCTGCCTTGTATAACTTGTCTCACCAGTCTCACCAGTTATAAATGTTCAGGAGCACCAACACCACCAGAAAATGGTCAGTTGTTGCTTAATATTTTATTATTATTCTTATTAAGACACAGAGAAAAATTAGAAAATATTTGCGCTTACTCACTGAGTTACCTCCAGAGAGAAACTAGGTCATTTCGGGAGTAAAACATGGTAATAGTATTTCAATAATTCGCTTGCGCGTATATGGTGACCGTTACCTGAAGGAGGAGATGGGAGGACCCGGCGAAAACCCATAAGGTTGGATAGGCAACCCTACTCCTTATCACGTACAAGTTTGAAGGTATAAGACAATTATAATCGTGACTATTTGTAATATTGTTACTGATAACATTGGTCATCATCACAGTTACACATATCCCGATGAAAGCAGATTAGATAATGAAATACATGTACTTGCAGTCAAACACCAACTAAAGAATTGTTACAATTGCATTTAGTGTAGCACCATAAGCCTTCTGTCAGACGTGGGGAGCGGGGGAACCAAATCCGGTCGCCACATCCAACGTATGACCCATGCATCCTTTCTTACTACATATCTTAGTAGCCTTGTGATCGTTTAGAATTTGTCTCCAGCTGTCTTTGCTTCCACTTCACGTTGTGTATTTACTTCTTCTTATCTATCTCAGTTAGTTAAGACGTTTGCCTTAACAATGCAACAGTTCGTTTTTACATTTTATATAATTATCATAGCCGGATACATGGATACAAGCATAGTATAAGTTACAATATTAAAGTCATTCTCTCAAACCTCATCCACCCAGACTCGCTGGGCGTTTCTGCTGATAGAAACTGCTACCACCTTTTCCCTTTCAGAATCTGTATGCTGTCTGACGATTTTGTAGCTTTGGGTTTTGGACCTTCAATTATCTAATTAGTCAAATATGATGTAAATAAGTATAGAGATTGGTTAAACAAGCCAAATGATGCAATCGTAATTTTCCCATCACATGTAATACATGATATTCTTATTCCCACAGAACCAGCTAATGTTTACCAAATTATAACTCTTTTTTATGTAACAATATGCCACTCATTCGCTAACTTGATTTAAGTGCTTCCTTCGAATTCCCCACCACATCCTGTTGCAAAATAGACAAATCAGAAAGACATACTGAAATGAAAAATTAATTTGACATCTTAAAGTCTGGAACAATTTACACATTCGTCAATTTGCCATCGTAGTGGACCAAAATTGCTTCGTATGCTCTCCATGATGAATAAGTTTATGGTCCGTTCTCATTCAGGGGGGTTGGATGGCTGAATGACTAAAGTCTGTCATTGAGTCGACTGGCGTGGTTTCGAATCCCCGGTTGTACGTGACAAGGAGTAGGGTCGCCTGTCCAACCTCGTGGGTTTTCTCCGGGTCCTCCGGTTTCCTCCCACTGCTAAAGACCCCTACGCGCAAGCGAATTATGTAAATAAAATTAAACCATATGTTAGTCCCGAAATGACCTAGTTTGTGTCGAGTGGACGTTAAACCCCATTTCTCTCTCTCTCTCTGTTCTCAAACGCCCCGGTCCGGTGAGGAAAAGGTTATGCATTTATTCAATGTGTACTAAAATAATTTTAATTAAAGATGCTATAATAGCTATAATAAAGATAGTGGAAAATTACTATTCAAAAAAAGTAGGGGATATTTGATTTTGGGGGCATAATACTAAAATATGTAAATGACTACGAAAAAAGTCACTAT